AATTCCATATTGTACTGAGAGGGATCGACGTTAAGCATGTTTTGTCTATCACTGTACATTTCTGCAAACGATGTACTCCTTGTTATAAAACTTGCTTTAACCCCATCTCCTTCACTCGTCCATTTCCATTCCCACTGAGCATTTTCATTCATTTGAAATTCACCAAAGTAACAAATTAGGACACATGCTGATGCCATATCTGCCACAAATTAAAAATAAGGAATTAATATATAATTTTTTAAATTGTTCATTTCATATTTAATTTAATTTTATACTTTAAATAATTCATTGATTATTTTAATTGTTTCAAAAATATTTATTTCAATAAACATATATTAATGAACAAATAAATTCTAAAATCTGAAAGGGAAGGGAAAGGGAAAAAAATGAAAGGCCAGTTGGGCGGGCTGGAAACAGCCGAGGGAAAAAAAAATATATAAAAGGCCGGCTGGGTCGGTTGGACGCAGGACGCTGTTTCTAGCCGGCTCGGATAATTGGGCCGGCTGGAAACACTTGGCCTAACTTTTTTCATCCATTTCATCTGAAATTTATGCTCGAATTTTTTATTTTTCCCCTTTTTAACGAAATAATGTTTAAATATTTATTTTACAGACACCTATAAATTTTTCTTATAAAATATATACATACAGAGATGAATTTTTTTGTTGTTTTTACTGTAAAAATTTTTTATATCTGTAGGCCGGCTGGAAACACTTGGCCCAGCTTTTTTCGTCCGTTTCATCTGAAATTTATGCTCGAATTTTATTTTTTTCCCCTTTTTAACGAAATAATGTTTAAATATTTATTTTACAGATACCTATAAATTTTTCCTGTAAAATATATGCATACAGAAATGAATTTTTTTGTTGTTTTTGCTATAAAAAAATTATATATCTGTATTTAAATACTGTAAAATTCATCAGCCTTTGTCAAAAAAAAGATTTAAAGATTCAAACAGTAAATTTAACTAAAACAAATTTAAAATACGTATTTACACTTACCAATTTTCAGTGCCGACTGTGAGTATTGTTTCTTTGTTGAACCTTTGATAATTTTGGGAGATTTCAATATTTTAGCAGATGGAAGGAAAAAATTCTTTTTTACTGTATTGAAGAAACTGATAAGCAAAACTGATTTTGAAATTTACGTATGGAAGTAACTGAATTTATTTAAACTTTTAAGGGTATTATTATCTTTCAAAGAATTGATATACTTTTGTAATTGTGAAACATAAATAAGCACACAATTATTTTTTTATTGACAAGAGGTCAATGTGATGAATACCTAAAAAAAAAAAAAAAAAAAAAAAAAAAAAAAACAAAAAAAAAAAAAAAAAAGTAGTCAAACTGAAAAACTGGTTGTTTGACCAAGCCAATTTAAAAAGTACCCCCCTTCCGTATGCTTTGCCAAGAGTACGGCGCGCAAGGTGCGTACAATCCCATGCTTCATTCAAGAATCTTCTCTGAACAGAAAAGTACGGCTCCCAAGAATTCACTTCCTGCAGGTATGGTATTGACATTCTAATGGATATTAGGTATTAGACTCAATTTTTTTAAGTTTGTTTAGATTGATGTGGTGGTGAATGGCAGGAAGATAGGCCTCCATTTGTGCAATTCTGCGCGAATGATCTAGATGCTTTGTTGGAGGCAGCATGGAGAGTGGAGCCTTAATTTGATTATGTTTACATTAATTTTGGGTAATTGTTTATCGAATTCCCCCCGTTCACTAGTGAATTATGTGTGAGAGTCTGTGCATTTCTTGATGCTGGATTTTAAGCCAACTTATCTTCTACATGGGAGGAAAATAGTTTGCTTCTTAATTTTGCCTATTGTTAATTATGGTTCTAGAAGCTAATATATTTGTGCATTTTATCTTGAAGTTTGAGGTGCTTTTGGTTACACTTGAATTCGTTAAGCTAATTTGACTTTTCTGTGTTTTGCCCGTGGACAGTGATTTTGATTTTTGAATATCTTGTAAGAGTTATCACCTTTATAGATCTGTAAAAGTTTCTATGTGAGATAGTACTTGAATTGCTTTTCTCTTACATAGTATTTGGGAAATCTTAAAACTACAATGACTGAAGCTAGATCGCTGCAAATTGTTTAATCCTGGACTTATAGTTTTTTAACTAATTTGGCTTTGTCTGGCTGTAATTTGATCTAAATTGGGATAAAAGTTAAATGGCCTGCGGGGTTGATTTCAACGTAATCTTATTTTTTTAATGAATAAAAGTCATGAACTTTCTTGGTAGATTATCAAGAACTTTCTTTTCCTAAAATTTGAAACAATATTGATGCATCATTGAGCTGGAGTGGATACTTGGATTTAAGGCTAATTTAAAGTCTTGTTATCTCTAGATAAAGTTTAACTAGAATTCACTGGGTGTTGTTTTTTTCAGTCTCTGCACATAGCCTCAAGTATTATAGGTCATGAAACTATGGAGAACAGTTTGTCTTGCCCTAGTTTTGGTTTCAATTTGTGGACAAAATGGAAACTAAGGGAGGATTAATCTTCTTTTTATCCTAAAAAGCAACTTATTGTGTCCTCTTCCGTTAGATTTGTATTGGTTAATTAAATATCTAAAACCTCTTCTCAAAATATAAATTAATTTATGATGCCATTAAATTGAACGGGAATCGAGCAAATACTTGTTCAAACAAAGTGTTGTTACCTCGATAAGACGAATTCAAGTTAGATTTGATCTGCTATAATTTGTTTCTGAAGTTCCTGAAGATAGCCAAGACAAACCAGGAATTTTCTTGCTTAGCAACTTCACGAAGAGAGCCTAAAACCGCTGACCTCAATATATTGGTTGCTTATGAGTATCTGAAGTTAATTTCTTCAAGCCACATGTTGGGGAAATTTCAACTCTACACCCTAATGTCAGAATTCTAAATTTCATTATACCCTTCATGTGGATTATGAAACTTTTCATTGTACCACTCTATATCAATCTAGTTTTGGCTCAGTGAGTTAAAATCGGTGGACTTCTATTACACAGGTGTCAGCATCCACGAAGTTGCTGGAGTAAGATACCTTCTTTTACTTTTGTGTTTGAGTTTCAAACTGTGGAACCCCGCACTCTGTGTGTATGCCAAGTTTGGGTGGCTTTCATAATGTAATCGGTAGGTTTTTGTCCCAAAAAAAATGAAAAATGAAAAATGAAAAAAAGGAAAATCGATTTCTCTCAAGAACCCTCTATCAACTTGGATTTCGAGTCTGGTGACAATCTGTTTCTAGTTGGGTCTTAGCTGAAGTTTATCAAAAGGCATGTTACTCTATTTGAACTAAAAGGGGATAGACTGCAACTAGAGGTAGAAAGATGAAAGAGTAAGGGGTTGTTCTCTTCGTGTTTCAGTTTTGTAGTTTTGAGTTTTGAATTCATTTTGGGTTTTGTGTTTTGAGTGCCTGTTTTGAAATTGCTGAAAATGTGTTCTTTTTTCATTTTGAAAAAATGTTTCTCAAAACATAAAATTGAAAAATGCGTTTACTTTGAAATTTTGATAGTATTTTTTTTATAATATTTATTCAAGAAATCTGATTATTCAATAATTTTAATATTTTAATGTTAATATAGTATTAAATAACATATAAATTTTGAAGTTGGTGAATCTTGAAATTTTTTTCCAGATATAAAATACACAACCTAAATTAAATATGGCGAAACAGTTCAATAGATTTGTATCTATTCTTAATTTAGGATATCAAGATCAAGAGAGTATCTATATTCAAGCATGTTTGAGGACGATCAAACCATCTACAAGAATGCCTTAGATAAAGTCGATAGTTGTGTGTTTCATCATGGCACAAAAGAGACATTTTAGCATATATGAGGGTGTTTGGAGATATTTTTATGTAAAAATGCATTTTTGAATAGTAAATTGATGGGAAATGTGTGGTTGAAAAATAAGGAAAAGTTTTTTATTTACGTGTAATATGATTTTAATAAAGAATGTGTGGTTGAAAAGAAGAAAGAGAAAAATGCATTTTAAAAAAAATGAGTACTGATGTTGTCAAGTTGTATACTCAAAGACTGACATGTCTCGAGGACTCTTATCTCGAGGAGACTTTTAATTTTATAATTCAATTATGAAGTTTAGTCCTCGGGGTTTCAAGGTCATCGGGATATAGAGCTCGAGGACTCTACTCTATCTCCTAAGCTCATAAGTCCTCGAGGTTAAATACTGGAGCACTATCCCTCCAGCCAATTCACGCGAGCCCGTAATAAGTCTTGCCTTCTGAGGATTTCAATGTGATTCAAACATCTCCACCCAGGACTCCTACATCCACAAGAACTCTATGTCAACAATAGTATCATTGGTCATGCAATTATATTACAAATAGTATACTTCTCTCATGCAGGACTCTATTAAAATAAGAACGTCCAACTTATTCAATCTTACTAGAAGTGCACTACCTACCACTATAAATATAGGACCCAGGTCCATTATTCAGGTACGTTCTATACACAATATCCAGCATATATTCATCTTTCAACCCCTTTTCTGACTTAAGCATCGGAGGGGCGACGAGCACAGACCTCATTGCCTTTGTTTCAGGTACCGGAAGACTACGATCGTGCTCAATCCGAATCATCAAGCTCGGGAAATCTACAGGTACGATTTTTGGTAGCATCATTGGCCGTCTGCGGGAAACGGTACCAAAAGCCATTGTTAACACACGATCAGGTCTTCCTCCTGCAAGCTCATCTACTCCCATCCCTCATCCTGTCGAAGATCAATCGGCTCCTCATGAAGAATCCTCAGGAGTGCCCGCACCTATGCGACGAGTCATCACAATCGAAGCCTTTGAAGAGCTCCGTCAGTAGATGGCCACGCTAACGCAACTGTTAAGTCAAAGAAATTCACATCCGTCGCCAACGCAGGCGGAGCATGGCGATTTTATGGCCGATGCTCGAGCACGACCACCGAAACCCCCCAAATGGCAGAGTAGGAACCTCGGGTATCCACAATATGGCCTCGGGCTCGAGGTCGGTCGCCATGGATTCCGGTGAAATTGCCCGAATCATTCAAGAAGGAATTACAGCTGGTCTACAATGGAATGCTCGAGGGCCAATAGGTTTCACCCCTAACACTCCATTCACGCTAGAGATATTGTCATATCCCTTGCCCGACAGATTCAAATATCCCCGCATTAAGGAATATGATAGGACGTCCGACCCCATCAACCACCTCAATGTATATACTGACGTCATTAACTTGCAAGTTGCGCTAGATCAGGTTATGTGCAAGGCCTTTCCACAAACACTGACTAATGCTGTTAGGGATTGGTTCTCGACATTGGAGCCCAACTTCGTAGTCTCATTCTCAGATTTGGCTGATAAGTTCTCAACCTTCTTTGCGAGTAGCAAGCGAATCAAGAAAACTGCAGCCTCTCTCATGCAACTACGCCAGGGGCCGAATGAAACCCTACGAGGTTTTATGACAAGATTCAACAAGGAAAGAGTTCAAATACCCGACCTCCACATTACAGCAGCAGTTTCTGCCCTCACCTATGCCATAAGGTGTGAAGTCTTCAAAATGTCTTTATCAAAGAACCCACCACAGACAGTGACCAAGCTCCTTAACCGAGCTGAAAAGTACATCAATATGGAGAAGACGTTAAATCCAAGGAGAGCGGGTCCTCCTCATGAAAAGGTCGAAAACAAGAGGCAACATGATCCCATTCCCCGGCATGAGCATCCTCGGGAAAAGTGGAGAAATGAGGCGCCCTCAGCATCTCTAACTCGGTTGAACACCTCTAAGACCAATATCTTGATGTCGATTAAGGATATGAAAGAATTAAAGTGGCCTTCGAGAATAAAATCCCCCCCTAACACAAGGGATAGGAGCAAATATTGCGAATTTCATCAAGATCATGGGCATACCACGGAAGATTGTCAAGCTTTGCAGCGGGAAATTGAAGCTCTCATTAAAAGATGATTTTTTAAAAATTACACTGGTCATGATAAACGGCCAAGGAATGACTGTGACAATCGGAAAGAGCCTGGGGTCGGAAGCAGCGCTCAACCCACTGTTGGAACCATTAATATTATTGTTGGGGGCATAGCATCAGGCGGGGACACAAGTAGTGGGCGAAAGCAGTATGCCCGCCGACATGCTCATACTCTAAGAGAATCCAGTGATGAAGTTAAAGACATCACTTTTGGTGTAAGATATTTGGAAGGAATATCATATCCTCGTGACGATGCCTTGGTCGTCTCTGCGGTTGTGGCTAACTTCGAAGTGAAGAGGATTCTGGTTGATAATGGGAGTGCAGCAAATATACTCTCGTAAGAGGCTTTCGCCAAAATGGGGATCTTTCCGAAACAGCTTCAAGCAGTAAAGACCCCTCTACAGGGATTCGGCGGTGGAGTCATTGTCCCTGAAGGCATCGTCGAGCTCCCGCTAACATTAGGATTTGGTAATACACAAGTGACAAAGATCATGCCATTCCAAGTGGTTAACACCCCAATGGCCTACAACATCATTTTGGGAAGACCCCTACTAAATATGATCCAGGCTATTGTATCAACCTTCCACCTTGCCATGAAGTTCCCCACAGGTCATGGCATCGGAGTAGTTAGAGGAAACCAAACAGCAGCCAGACAGTGTTATGTTACTAGCATCCGAGGAATGAGTACAGACGTCATGCAACTTTCAGACCTCGAGCTCGAGCCAAGGGGCAGATTGGCTCTCGTTGAAGAATTAGAGATGGTCGAGCTTGAGCACGGGAAAGCCGTCACTAGTGGTCGGGATCTCCAGGCCAACCTCCGGGAGGAAATCCTCGATTGTCTGACCCGCAACATCGATGTTTTTGCACGAAAGGTGGAGGATATGCCCAAGATAGACCCAGAATTCACAGTCCATAGACTCAATATCAGCCTAGGGGCCAAACCTGTTAAGCAAAGGAAGAGACAGTTTGCGCCGGAAAGACGTGTGGTCATTCAAGAAGAGGTCGGCAAATTGGTAAGAACGGAGTTCATTAGAGAAGTCCAATACCCCAATTGGCTCGCTAATGTTGTTCTGGTGAAAAAGGCCAGTGGTAAATGGAGGGTCTGTATTGACTTCACAGATCTGAATAAGGCATGCCCAAAGGACAGCTACCCGCTACCTAGGATTGATAATTTTGTGGATAGCATATCCGGACATAAGTTGTACAGCTTCTTAGATGCATTCTCAGGGTATCATCAAATCCTCATGGCCAAAAAGACCAAGAGAAGACTTCATTCATGGCTGATTCAGCCATATATTGCTATAGGGTGATGCCATTTGGGTTGAAAAATGCTGGGGCAACATATCAGAGGCTCATCAACAGAGTCTTCGTCGATTTGATAGGGAAGAACATTGAGGCCTATGTGGATGACATGGTTGTAAAGAGTAAGAAGGTAGAGGAACACATATCCAACCTTGAGGAGGTGTTCGCCACCCTACGAAAATATAAGATGAAGCTCAAACCAGAGAAGTGTGTATTCAGCGTAGCTTCAGGAAAGTTTTTGGGTTTCATGATCACTCATCGGGGGATTGAGGCCAAACCTGACAAGATTCAGGCTTTGGCAGCAATGGAATCACCAAGGACCAAGAAAGAGGTTCAAAAGTTGACAGGCAAGATAGCCGCCTTAAACAGGTTCATGTCTCGAGCAGCAGACAGGTGCTTCCCCTTCTTCAAAGCCCTTAGGGGTAATCGTTGCTTTGAATGGAATGAGCAGTGCGAGAAGGCTTTTTAGGAGCTCAAGCAGACATTGGAATCTCCTCCTATCCTCACCAAACCCGAGCTTGGAGATACTCTACATTTGTACTTAGCCGTATCTCAGAATGCAGTGAGTGGTGTCTTGGTGAAAGAGGTTAACAGGGGCCAGCAACCCATTTATTACGTAAGTAAAGTCCTACTTGATGCAGAAACGAGATACACTTTGGCAGAACAACTTGCCCTTACACTGATAGTAGCAGCACGAAAACTTCGTCAATATTTTCAGTCACATCCCATTATAGTGCTCACCAATCAGCCTCTAAAACATATTCTCTTCAGAAACCAGACATCTCAGGAAGACTACTGAGGTGGGCAATTGAACTTGGAAAATTTGACATAGAATTCAAGCCCCGTCCTTCTATCAAAGCTCAGGCCTTAGCTAACTTCATTGCAGAACTCACCCCAAGGCCTCGGGGGCCAGATAGTAGCTCGAGCTCGACCACAGGCATGTGGCAAATTTTTGTAGATAGAGCATCAAACTCCTCGGGCTCGGGTGCAGGGGTCATAATCATAAGCCCAGACATGCTCATAAACATTCAGTGTGCATTCAGGTTCGAATTTGAAGCGACCAATACTGAAGCAGAGTATGAGGCCGTCATCATAGCTATGGAACTCGCCATCAATCTTGAGCTTGAAAATATCAAAATTTACAGTGATTCTGAGTTGGTGGTTGGACAAATTGAAGGGACATTCGATAGGAAGGATGAGAAGATGAGCTTATACTGCTTGAAAGTGCATGATCTCCAGAGAAAGTTCAAGGGGTGTGAAATTGTGAAGATTACTTGGGCTGAGAATTGTAAGGCCGATGCCTTGTCAAGATTGGTGTTCATGGGAATAGATGGACTTGACAGGATAGTCCACGTTAGAATTGTAACAGAGCCAAGCATCAATCAGACCATAGGCGTCATGGATATTGATGATGAGCCATCGTGGATGGATCCAATAGTGGATTTTATAAAACATGGCAATCTTCCAGAAGATCCTCGAGCAGCAAGAGGCATCTGGTCCAAAGCCCTAAGGTATTGCATTATTGAGGGAGTACTATTTCGCAGAAGCCTCACACTTCCATACCTCAGATACCTTAAGCCTTCCGAATCATCCCATGCCTTAGAAGAAGTTCATGAGGGGGTATGCGAGAACCATCAAGGAGCTCGGGCATTAGCCTTCAAGCTCATAAGGTATGGATATTATTGACCTACTATGAAGAAAGACGCCCAGGAATATGTCAAGAAGTGTGGCAATATCATCCATTCTCCCGTAGAAGACCTCACTAGCATTAGTTGCACGGCCCCGTTTGAGCAATGGGGAATTGACATCCTCGGTCCCTTTCCAATAGCTAGGGGGCAACTGAAGTTTGTGGCGGTGGCTGTAGAGTATTTCACTAAGTGGGTGGAGGCTGAGCCTTTAGCAACAATTTCAGTGTCTAAGTTGAGAAGTTTCATTTGGAAGTCCATCATATGCAGGTTCGGGATACCAAAAGTCCTCATAACCGATAATAGCAGGCAGTTTGACAATGCACAATTTAAAAACTTCTGCTCTAACCTGGGGGTCGATCACCATTTGACATCAGTTTCTCATCCTCAAAGTAATGGTCTTGTCGAAGTAACCAATCAAATTATATTGCAAGACCTTCGTACAAGGATCGGAGATACAAGAGGTTCCTGGTATGATGAGTTACCTTCCATACTTTGGACGTATAGAACGTCCCACAGAACCACTACTGGGGAAACTCCCTTCATGTTGGCTTTCGGTATTGAGGCCACCATCCCTGTTGAAGTTAGGTTGCCCAGCCAGAGAAGGCTTGAGCCTAAAGATGCAGGAGACACCACCGAACACCTCGACCTCTTGGAAGAAGTTCGGGATCAGGCAGCTTTAAGAGTGGTCTCTTACCAAGATAGAATAGTAAAGTATTTCAATAAAAGAGTGAGGACACGAAGATTCAAGGCCTGAACCTTGTGTTAAGAAGGGCAGAAGTAGTAGGTCATGCTCCGGGCAAGCTAGGACCGGTTTGGGAAGGGCCCTTCGAAGTTATATGACAGCTTCAAGAAGGTGCGTACAGTTTAAGGGATACATCAGGAAGACCACTTCTTAGACCATGGAACGCCGAAAATTTGAAAATATATTACAGGTAATCAATTTCCAGTAGTCAGGCCTGCATGCTAAGGTTCACGTTTTCAGTTCTCGAGTCTACGTGCCAAATCTTATTTTTGTTTGTCAGGCCTGCATGCCAAGGTTCACGTTTTCAGTAGTCAGGCCTGTGAGCTAAGTCTGTTTTCAAAGTACAATAAGAATTCATCTATTCATTGAAATATGATCTCACTATCAAAAGCCTTGCTCCGAGCAAGCACTAAAAGCCTTGCCCCGCGCAAGCACTAAAAGCCTTGCCCCATGCAAGCACTCAAAGCCTTGCCTCGTGCAAGCAACTCAAGCCTTGCCCTGAGCAAGCAACTCAAGCCTTACCCCGAGCAAGCAATCAAAAAGCCTTGCCCCACGCAAGCAATCAAAAAGCATTGTCCCACGCAAGCAACCAAAAAAGCCTTGCCCCGTGCAAGCAAAAAATCTTACCATGAGCAAACACATAGAAACTACTACCAGGGCAAACGATATAGGTAACCTTCCCGAGCACACAATGCTCGATCAATGATATGTCAGATCTTATAAAAAGGCCATCATTGTCCTCGAGAATCAATAGGTCGGTACCATACATTGTCATTAGTCCTTGAGATAATCCCCCTATTAAAGAAGGACTTGATCGGGTTACCACCTTAGAAAATTTTACAAAATTAAGTCCTCGAGATAACTCATATGCTCGAGCTCAACAATGATCATCAAAAATGATTTTTTTTGAAATTGAGTCCTTGAGATAAACATGTACTATGCTCGAGTGCATAATTTCGAAAATGACTGTGGAATTTAGTCCTCGAGATAATCCCATTGGTCGAGCTTGACATAAATGAAACTTTATCGTCAGATATAATATCTTAGGCGTCGAGGTTAAAACTTCATTTAAGCGTCTAGATTAGTTATGAATCATTATCATCGAGGTATTAATTATCTTAATGGTCGATCATTTTTGGTTAAATTCTGACATTCCTCGAGGTGATATCCCTCGAACTGTAAAAAAAATGACAATATACATAGAACGTCTTAAAACAAATGTTCGAGAATTACGATTAAGATCGAGCTCTCATTTACTATTAACCTCGAGAAAAATACATGATTACATTTAAAAAAAAAAAGTGTTTCAAAAGGAAATACAGAGCACGAGGATCAGGGAGGGATCTGCCTAGCCTATATGCCCCAATGGGGGATCGAGGTTTGTAATATCGATTTCATCATCTGCATCCTCAGCCTCTCCCCCTTCCATGCCATCGTCGTCCTTATTCGCTCCTCCATCATCAGACTCTGAGAGCTCGAGAGTATCAGCAATGGAGGGCATTGTCTTCAGGTCCTCAAGGATAACGTTGGGCAACCTTGCTCGAAGAAAAGCTCGAGCCTCCTTAAAAGCATGGAGGTAGGCACCCGAGGCGTACTTGCCCTTGATCCTGTTGCAGTCCTCAGACGTTTTAAACTCTTCCCAAGCTCGTTCCTAAACCTCCGCCATCTTGTCCTCGAACTCCTTGGTCTTTCGCACCAGTTCGAGTTTAGCTTCCTCATCCTCATCCTTCGCAGCCCCAACCTCTTTCCTCAAATTTCTATTTTCCCTAAGGATATCCTCGCGCTCCTTCAGCCAAGCCTCGTGCTCAGCCTCAAGCTCAACAATCCTTATGTCTTTACTTCTCGAGGACTCTATGATATCAGCAATTCTCTTGGACTCCCCAAGACCTCGTTGGGTGAATCCTCGAGCAACACTCAAAACCTGCAAGCAATAAACCTCGAGAATTACGCACAGCAAACAAAAGAATGGTAAGTAAAAGAATCGAGGATAACCTTCATTGTAAGGAGCTCGAGGGCATTGACGCCCTCATCAAGCTCAACATCCTCTCGATATTTTGTGATTAGGCCTGGGACCAGGTGGCATCTTTCAAACTCCTCAATAATTGAAGCTACCATAGGAGTAGTGTCGTCCTCGAGATCGACAACTTCAGAGGGAGCTTGAGGAGTGACCCTGGGAGTTGGAGACCTTTGGCTTTGCTGGAACCTTGGGCTCGATGGCTCTGGTTTAGGTCGTGATGTTTCACCAGGACCCCTTACCATGTGGTCAGATTGGGGCCCTCGAGGCCTCTTCTTGCTTTTCTTCCTCGCCTGGGGCTGGCCCTGAGGCTGGGCACTAGTCCTAGAGTTGACAAAGTTACGCAATGCTCGAGGGTCAAAAGACATTCCTGAAAAGAAAGAACCAACACATTAGAACGAGCATAAGCCTGAGATATTCAAAAATAACATGGATGGTAGAGGTAAACCCTACCCTCGACGCCTCTAACATATGCCAGATCTATCACCTCTTCCCCGATCTCTTTCATGCTCAAGAACAGAGGGTACAGCTTCACCAGTATCCTCCTATCTCGCTCCAAATGGTCTGGATACACTTCACCCTCACAAAACTTCTCGGCGTCGGGGATTCCCCACTCAGGCCAGAAAGGAAAGTCAAGTCTCGAGCTATAACATAGAACCAACCCGCTCTCCACCCCTTCAAAGAACCAGACATCCTCGGGGCCCTGAACCCTCCTATGGCTGAGAGGTACACAAAGCATGTATATCTAGGGTGTTTCTTGAGCTCGAAGACCAACTTGCAAAGGTCAACACAGGGGACGATGCCTAAATACCTACAAGCAATGAAGAAGTACACTTCCACTCTCCAGGCATTGGGCACTAATTGCCCAAGACACATGGAGTGCTTGACCAGTAATGCAATAAAGAAAGGATGCAATGGCCACCTGAACCCAGCCTTAAGAGTCTCCCTAAAAATAACGAACTCCCCTTGTCGAGCCCTTACCATCCTATCCTCAGGGTCTGGACATCTAATGTCACAGTTAGGCATTAACCCATGTTCCCTAGCAGCAGCTATTGCAAGGTGCTCCTTCAAGGTACAGACCTCGTCAGGGTACTCCAAGATAACATCACCCGGGGACCTAGGTCAGGCGTCGATAGGAATAGCTAATGGTATTAACACCCTTCCTGAACCCTCATTACCCCCCGAGCTCTCAAAATGATCACTACCCTCACTACTCGACATAACTTAAATAGTACTAGGAAAATAACTAAAGTCTCGAAGCCTTACCTGAATAATTCCCGACGCCTAGATTAGGATGACTTTCCTCGAGCACGAGCTTGTAGAGAGGTTTTTCACAGTGAGTAAAAGTAAAAAGTGAAAGGTAAATGAGGGTATTTATAGGGAGGGAATACGGAAGGTCAAAGATCGCTATCTTGAGCTGTTCAAGATGCGACACGTGGCGTACATCCAAGCGCACCCCTCCATCGAGCACGAGCTCTGCAAAGGAGTGCGCGGGGGCTAGTGATATTGCCAAGTATTCTCGATGACTGACATGTCTCGATGGCTCTTATCTCGAGGACACTTTTAATTTTATAATTCAATCCTGAAGTTTAGTCCTTAGGATTTCATGGTCATCGGGATATATAGCCCGAGGACTCTACTCTATCTCCTAAGCTCATAAGTCCTTGAGGTTAAATACTCAGGCACTATCCCTCCAGCCAATTCACCCGAGCTCATAATAAGTCTTGCCTTCTGAGGATTTCAATGTGATTCAAACATTTTCACCCAGGACTCCTACATCCACAAGAACTCTATGTCAACAATAGTATCATTGGTCATGCAATTATATTACAAATAGTAGACTTCTCTCAGGCAGGACTCTATTAAAATAAGAACGTCCAACTTATTCAATCCTACTAGGAGTGCACTACCTATCACTATAAATACAGGACCTAGGTCCATTATTCAGGTAGGTTCTACACACAATATTCAGCATATATTCATCTTTTAACCCCTTTTCTGATTTAAGCATCGGAGGGGCGATGAGCACAAACCTCGTTACTTTTGTTTTAGGTACCGAAAGACTACGATCGTGCTCAATTCGAATCATCAGCTCGAAAAATCTATAGGTACGATTTTTGGTAGCATCAGGTACCAAATGGGCCCTATGCATATTCAGTCCAATATGATATTCTTATTTTATATAAATAATGACTTATTAATAAATAATCATTGTGGCATACAAGCACAAGTAAATGAGTAA